AGCCAGGCCAATTTATTTTTTAACTGTTTCCCCTTTCGCTGTGGGACCCTCACTTTATTAATGTCTCCCGTTTGGGCTCTTTCCAATTAGCGATACAGCTTAGTCTTGCCCATATCATTAGGATAACTTACAGAATTTTTCTTCCTGATTTCGGTAATTTTAACTTAACTATTAGTGGGAAATATTGGTGTTAATTCAAGTGAACGAATAGTGTGAAATTTTATCCCTACAACTGTTTTGTATATTTTTATCTACCTTCTAAAAATTTGTAATTTATTTCAAGGAATCTCATCTTTTTAATAGAGTGGATATTGTTGACCGTGATTTTAATTTGAGGAGTTGGTTGAGGGTGCTGTCAATATAAAACACTGTATATTATAATAATATTTTATTTTATTTTTTGGAGTTTTGACATAATGTTGTAGGTCTTCATCAGGGCTAAAAATGATCCAAATTATATATCTTAATTGGTACAAGATAAAAAAAACAGTAACAATTTGTCAAATAAAATAACTGGAAGTCAGCAAATTTATCATTGGAAAAATTCCAAACCATACAGCCTTAGGTCTCCAAAATGCAGGCAAAGAAAAACCTTTAACGTTTTACCAATTCAGGTATCAACAGGACAGGAAAAAACTACAGCTACTAGAAATTCAATCTATGAAATCCAATCGTATATTCCAGTATTTCCTGGAGTGATGTTCGATTATATGCTTTTTTTTTTTTTTTTTGAAGACGCCTGAATTGGGTAAACGTTGGAGGGTTTTTCTTTGAGTGCATTTTGGAGACATAAGGCTGTATGGTATGGAATTCTTCCAATAATTGTTACTAATTTGTTTATTATTAACGGCAAATTCAATTCTCGGCAAATTGGCTCTCAATAGCCAACGCGAATACCTACAATTGGACACTGGGATGATGAAACTTGAAGCTCAATTTAAATATTAAGGAAGTTGGGTGAATATGATTGGGAGATCATACATGCAACTTAAAAAAAGCATAAGTAACGGGATCATGATTATCAGAACCTTAAATTTGGTACGGCGGAATAAAGGAATGTCTTTAAAAAAAACTATCATTAATAAATCGTTCCTGGAAATATTTTCTCTCTATTCAGTCGAATCGTGTACAATAAAAAAGACTGCTAGTTCTAGAAATGGACTACTGGAGGCGATCATGTGATGTATTTCGTATTTGAAAAGTTCCAAATATTTTTTTTCTTTCTTTATTGAGAGAGAATCACTTTATTATCATAAACGGGTGCTGCCCAATTACATTGGGTTGCTTTAAACACAGCATACTTATTAATCGCTACAGACAATTTTCCAAAACTAATATACAATTATATAGTATTAACAACATGTATGAGCATAATATACAATTTTTTTTTATCTATATATATTTTTTTATCATAATTTTTTTCCTATATTTTTATTTATTTATTTTTTAATTATTTATTTTATTTTTACTATTTCTATCATTCATTTAGCATTCACTTAGCATTAAACATCGCTTTCTGTTCCTTCTCTCACTTTATACATTTTTCTCGTTCCCTAGATTTTCTCCTCTCTTTTCCTAACCTAATTCATAACATGCATACAAATACATGAAGTGCAATGGACGTGGTCAATAAATAATGTAAAAATGCTGTAAAAAACGCATGCCTCCCCCCATGAACAAACTCTCTATCCATGCACATGGTGATGGATAATTCCCAGGGAGTCAAGGATTATATTCTCTGCCAACCTTGCCACGTTCTTTATGTCGAATCCAAGGCCCTCCATGAAGATCCTTGTTGAGTCTGGTATCGTTCCGCGAGCTCCGAACCAAAGGCCTCTCACGTGGAACTCTCTCGGCCCTAAACTCTCGCGGAACTTTTCACTAAGGAAAGGGATGCATTTCTCATATGTCTGTTTTTTCTCCCTTTCCACTTTTCCTGCCTGATCAAGGTCGTTGGTCTCATATCTCACGGTCGGATCCAAAATCATCGCCGACTTTCCCGTCTTAGGGAATGCTACAATGTCGGCATATCGGGTGGATCCATCCGTATCTAAACAATATACTTCCTCGAAACAGGCGTAATCTCTCTCTTTAAGGAGCCTCATCAGTTCATGTTTGACTCTCTGGTGACGGCACGTTATAAGGAGGGAGTTGTTGGGGCATTTTTCAAGCACATGTTCTGGTTTTCTGGCTCTCTATCGCATTTGCGACAGAGGGGGCCAACTTCTCTTACCTGTCCGCTGACACCTGGGACTCCACGCAGGGGTGCATAATTAATATTTAGTTTCAGGGCATTTGACCATTCAGACCCAGAAAGTACTTGCTTATCATACATGTATTTATTGGCTTTCGGGGTCTCTTTAAAATGGCGAACTCCAATGCCCTGCCACCTGCAATTGGTCCATTCTTTAAATGAATTTTCTCGAACCGACTGCCGTAGAGCTCTCATATTCCGAATACTCCGATCAACCCCCAATCTCTCGGCACATTCATCAACCTCAGCCGAATAATCAAAGATGGACTGAAAAAGGGCATCTGGTACATTGGACAGTCGCTGAGCAATGGACCAAGGTTGTAGAGGAGCCTCCCATTGGCAGCGGATTAATCCTAATCCTCGATACCTCCTGGGAGCGTACAACATCGCCGTGGAGGTGTTCGCAGGGAGTCCAACAATAGCCTTCACACTCCGGCGAATCATGGTGTCGATGCCGTCAAGTATGGCAGGACGCAGCTTTGTGAGGGGCGCAGTTTGGAGAGGGTAAGTAAGACCCAGGAGCAGATATTGGTTGACAATGTTTAGCTTCTGCTCCGGCTTCATCAAGGGAGAGGTTACCAGTTTATCCAGATTTTCGTTCAATTTGGTCACCGAATCTTCGTTGAACTATAGCTCTCCCGAGAATGTACATCCTAAATACTTGATTGTATCTCCATTCTGCAATGTTTGGATGTACTCTCCGTTCTCAAGGGCGAGCATCGCTCTTTTCAGCTCTCCTTTATTTAGAACGATGCCCACGCTTTTTTGAGGATTAATAGCCAAACCAATTTGCTCAAAAGTCCTCTGAACGCTGCCGATCACTCTTTCTGCAGCCCCCTTGTCACGCGCTGACACGGCCTGGTTATCCGCGAAACCTGTGAGAACCACACAACCTTGGTCACTTTTTAACTTGTATCCAATTTTTTTGGAAAATTCTTCATCGCACAGGTCGCGATAGAGATGGTCGATGGCCAGGTTGAAGAGCGACGACGACAAGGGGCCGCCTTGGGGTACCCCGCGCAGCACTTTGATTTGGCTAGTTGCGTGAACACCGTTACTAATTTTGATTGTGTTGGTGCAGAGGAGAGCCGATATAACACGTTTAAGATCCGGTGACACACCTCTTGCTTTTAAGGAGCTCACGATGTGTTTATGGCCAACATTGTCAAAAGCACCGACAACTTCAAGGAAGACTACCGCACAATCATTTTTCATAATTTTGGCATCTTTTAATATAGCGTCGATAATCCTTGCGTTGACGTACGTTCCCGGGAGGCCTTTTATAAAGCCTCTCTGATTCCTATGGAAGGTGACCTGCTTTCTTAGTTCATGGTCCAGAACCTTCTCTATGATTCGGCGCACAATAGAATAAATGGTGATGGGTCTCCAGGAAGGGATTTTGTTTACATCACCTTTCCCCTTATATATTAGTATTGTGCGCCCTTGTCGAAGTGGTTCTGGGACATAGGCCACCTTCAGCATTATCTCCGCAATCGTTTTGATAATATTTGCTACATCAAAATATTTAATCGTGAGGATCAGAACTCCATCAGTCCCCGGCGATGTGTCCATTGATGTTGATTTAATGGCTCTCTTGACGGCTCCTAGATCAATGGACACCAAATTTGGCATCGGGGCGCACTGTTCGTAATCCGCACGCTTGCGGAGATTTTCGCTCTCAAAGAGGTCTCTATAATGTTTTTCGATATCGGCCATCTTCAGAGGACACCGCTTAGGAGCGTCGGCATTCATTACGGTTTCCACGACCTTTTTCCTTTTATTATAGCAATTATATTGTGCAACCTCATATTGGATTAATTAATACATTCTGCCACATTAAAGGGCATTGATATTAAGGCTACATGAATCATTCACACAATATGTACATATCATTAATATTTCAGTAATAAAGAAAAAAAATATAAAAAAATAAAATAGGTAAATTGATATGCCTGTGTACAAAAAAAATGAAATAATAAATAAAAGCTAAATGAAATTAAAGTAACTAAACACCCAAATATTAAAAGAAATAGAACAAATGGAGATTACGCTCTATACCATCGAAACAATGAAGCTGAAGTGGTATAGGCTTGCGATGAGGCTGGAAGAGGATTGATGGCCTTAACGAATTTTGGATTGGTGACCGGAATGAAGACAGGGAAGAAAGGTTCCCGAGAAGAAACTGTTATGAGGGCGTAAAGGAAGGGATGTTGAATAGGGTTATATATGAAGGAGTCAGAAAGACAAAAGAATATGGTAAAAACTTGATGACGACATATGACTAATGTTGTAAAAGTCGTTAGATAAAATAAAAATGGTGACAGTATGAAAACAAAAATCCTTAATCTAATGAGTAGTGTTGCCCGAAATCAGTCTTGACCAAGGCCGCCTAACTGTTGCCAGACCAAGACCAGACCTGATGAAAAAAAACGATTTTTTGAATAAAAATTAAGACAAAATAGTTACTAATACCGAATAATCTTAGTTACTATATGTAAAGAATTGTTGTAACCAATATAATTTTGGTTTTACTTAATCTCATTTTTTATTCGGTCTTAGTTAGGTTTCTCCTATCTGAAAAATTACAGTAATTGCACAAGACCTAGACCATGACCAAGACTGAGTTTGCAAAACCAAGACTCGTCTAGGTCTCGCATTTGGGCGACACTACTGATGAGACTAAAGATAAACGAATGCAAAAGAACACTTTTATGTAAGTATTGTATGAAATGATGAATATTATTTCTTACAGTGAAGCAAGATTGGAAACAAGGATCCTCATTTTTAGAGTCAAACCAGGACTCTTTTGAATGTTGTCAAAACATGTTTCTTTATAATTGTTGCTATATTTAATATGATGATATGGGACTAACCTTGACTTGACGAGGGCGTCGGCAGTCTCGTTGTCGGAGGAGAGGGATATCGGCCAGGCGATTTGGAGGAGGCTGTCCCTGATGAAGACGTCCCAGGCGGTGAACTGCGGGTGGGACTCGACCACTCGCTCGCTCCGGACCAGCCGCCCACGCTGTCGGCGGCCTGTCCGTCTGGAGGGGTCCATCTGCAACAACATCATATTAGTAGTTATTATATATTATTATATAATATATGATTAATAAATACATAAATATATCTTTATTATATGAATATCATGGGCGTCCTTCAGTTTTAATTATTAAAGGAACGTTAACCTGTTGCTGTGGAACTTCTCCAAAGCAGAATACTTTATAAACCCCATCATTTTTCCAATAATTTTATAGTTATTAATATCCTGCGGTACAGACATTTTTTTTTAAATTATTACCACTAGTCTAAATCTTGTAACATCAAACGTATTCAATCCTTTCAATCGAAAGTCCTTCGAACAATAGCTAATACTCTATACTACGTCACAAACAAAACCATACATCATGAACTCAAATCCCATTTCTTCTAGATGTAATTCACTCCGGATTCTCAAACTTTCATAAAAAAATTATCCCTCATGCCAATCCCTGTCCAGCTTCAACCATCCATATTATGCCCCAATAAGGTTGAAACGGCAATGACCCAAAGACCTTTTGTAAACATGTGGTTCTCACTCATTCTCCACAAGCTTTCAAACAGTATTGGTGCTGGGATTTCTGCTCCCCTTTCTACTCTGATTTGCCTTTTACACGAGAGCTGCAAAGTATAGTTCAGAGTTTCCTAGACTGAATGTAAATATTGTATATTAGTACGAATGTGTGACAAGTATTTTTTTTTATCTTTTTTTTTTTAATGTGAATCTTCTCAATTTAATTTACATATTTTCTTCTTGTTTTATTTTATTTTTCAATTTGTATATAAGTAGTATGAATATACATATAGAGCTATAATAAGCAATTCCTATGATTGTGACAGATATTATTTGTTATTCATCCAATACAAAACCATTTAACTATTTTTTTTTTTAATTTATTTATTTAGAAATATAACAATGTGTCACAAATACATGAATTACAGTGATATACTATATATACAGTGAACACATTCATACCATATATAAAGAAACATTTAACTATTAAATTTAATATTTACTAGTTTACCGTTGAATAATTAAGGAAGAAGTAGGTCCACGGTGGCGGTCATGAATAGACTAAATAGTGGCAAAACTATTTTATAAAAATCCAACGTTTCGACCCGACTTTGCAGGTCTTCTTCAGGGCTAGAACGGACAAGATACAAAAAGATATAGAGAATTTTGGAAGTTACATTGTTTTATAATTTTTGTCTAAACACCATGTAACTTCTAAAATTCTCTGTATATCTTTTTGTATCTTGTCCGTTCTAGCCCTGAAGAAGCCCTGAACATTAGCTTTTAATAAAAAATTTTTGCAACTATTTTGTCTGTTGAATTTAAATTAGATAATAATTTCTATGAAAAGGACAGAAGTTGGAAAATAATTTCATAGAAAATTAATGAAATAATTATTAATTAATATTAATAAATAATAACTCGAAATATCAATCCTAACCCATATGGAGGTTTATAAAACTTAAACCAACATAGCTTCCTTTTTGTATCTTATAACCGTGTGAAGATAACGAAAACCATTTGAAAAAATAATAATATGCTTGGGTGGAAAGTATTTAAAATATATTTACTTTATGAAATAAGGAAAAAATATATACTTAATAACAATTACTTTCACTACCTTTCGATTATCATTATCTTCGAATATTTAGGCCTAAAGGTGTTGCTCAAAGGGATGGCAATAACGGCCCGAAAGGGTATTTAATGAAGGCCCTAGCTATGGAAACCTGAGCTTTGGGGGTAGCAATATGATCTACAAAAGTATCTCCTTTAACCTCCACTTTGTCGCTCTATTCTTATATTTAACACATTAATTTTGGGCCAAAGTTTATAATATTTCGGACATCAGCTTGTCTTTTAACTATTATCAATGCAAATATAAATGATTTCATTAAATTTCATGAAGTAAAATAACAATATTAAATTAAAATAGTTTTTTTAAATTTATAAATGTTAAAACATTAATATTGTAAATTGACTATTTTTGACCACAGATGAGGAATCCTTGTATTATTATAGACCATATTTTGAAATAAAAGTTTTAAGTACTCGGTATTATCAATCTTATTTCAGTGACTCAATTTAATTTTTAGTAATTCAATTTTCAATTTTCCCCCAAATAAACAGCGTCTTCACAGGTGAAATATTTGCCATATATCAGGCCTTGTTATTACTAACAGAAAAAAACATAAAAAATGACCTTATAATTACAGACTCTTTGAGCTCATTAATAGCCATTGCAGAAGAGAAAGCCGACAATGCCATTTCCAGAAAAATCAAAAACTTTCTCTGGGAAATGAAGGAGTCGCCGGACAGAGACACAACATTTGCTCCCTCACATTGTTGCATATCTGGAAACGGAGCTGCAGACAGAACTGCGAACGTAGCAAGAAGAAAAACAAATGGAATCACAATGATCAATTTAACGACTACTGCTGACTGGAGATTGGAATGAAAAAAAAAATGCTAAATGAACAATGGCAATTTAAGTGGAACCAATGTACAAATAAAATGCGAGAAATTAAAAAAAAAATATCCAACCATGGATGACCTCATTCAGAAAGAACATAAAAGAAGAAATAATTTTAACTGGGCTTAGAATTGGACATTGGCAGCCTTTACCCATGGCTACCTAATGAGATTTCTGGAACCACCATTTTGTAAAACATGCAACTCATCACTTACACTGAAACACATTGCAACAACTTGCAGACTATACTCTGACACCAGGACAAAACATAATATACCTTCCAACATATCTGACGCACTTTCAGATGACATTTTCTTTAATTAGACGATAAGGCATATAAATTAATATTGTACCTGTATTTAAATAGTGAGTAGAAAGTTCATAGGGATGAGCTCTAGGATACAGAAAGGTTTTCGATCCTAAGTACGCATTACCTTTGGAAACAGGAAGAAAATCACTTTAATTCGGTATACCACTTTTGATTATTATTTTGTTACTTTTGATTATTATTTTGTTCTATTTATTTTATTTTTTTGTACATCTGGTGTGAATGTCATCCTACCTCACTATAACCAATGTCGAACAGACAGATTGTTATAATACTCAAAAAAAAAAAAAAAAAAATGATTTATATGGATTCCAATAATTCGGTATACCAACAAAATTCATTTAAACGCGTAGAAAACCCAATGATGAACATAAAGCAATGCTTAACTCCTTTCTGTCCTTTCAATTCTTAAGTCACTTTTATGTATCTTTTGGATGAATGTTTCAAATAACATCACATTTTTTTCTTTTGTTTATATAAAACTAAATGAATAGAAAAAAAAATGTTTTGTCCCTATCCTACGGGATCATTAGTGTCCAGTTATTCTTTCAATTTATATTATTTTATTTTATTTCCATTGGATACCAAGTGGTTACTTTCTCTTCATATCTTGGAAACTTATTGTGTTGTTTTCACTTAATTTCTCTTTGATTTGCGCGAATTAGGAGCACTCTTAATATCTGTTGATTATCTGACGTTCATTGTCATGCACTTGGGTTTTTCTAGAACTTTAAGAATTTATAAAGTGTGCAAAGTGGCAGTATCCAATTCCGGTTCAGTGTTGTTTCTTCCTTTTGATTTGTTTTTGTTCTATTGGTTCTTTGTAATATTCAGATGTTATTAACCATAGTTGGGATTGTTTTTCCCCAGGTTTTTAATAGCTTTTTCTTTGGCTGATGTATCGAATCCTCTAGTATGGCATACTTTTTGTAGTTATGTTTGTTCTTCTCCTGTTTTGTTCTCATACTTTCATAGATATGACTCCGCTGGATTAAACCCAGATAAAGACAGCTTCCATTAATCTGATTTCTTTCATGATATTTCTCACTCTAATCCACAAAATAACGAATATATTACTAATCTTGGAACACGTTAAATAATGGTTTACTAATAGATCCCGTAATAACTTCTTATATTAAATCCAACAATCGCAAATTTAAATAAAACATATATTGCTTGCATAAGGATTAATGTCATGAATTTCCTATTTCTAAAATATCACTCCCCACGAAAAGCAATTTAGTTATGTCAGGCACCATAGGAATTGTCTGGTGTTTCATCAACTTGAAAACGGTAAAATTGGAAACAGGAGAGCCTATTTAGAACTTCAACATGAGAGTGATAGAGTTCATGGTAAAGTTGAAGAACTGAGAGTACACGTTTGAGATCCTTTCCAGAGACCAACTTAGATTAGACGATATGAACCATGCCTAAAGGTAAACGTCAAGTTTTGATAAGTCCATTTCCTATTGTTTAAGGACAATTTTAATATTTGTTATCCGGGTTGAAAACTAAGTGTAGACAATTACTTCGATTTGCAGCATAATATAGAACTTATATTTAATTCAAAATTATATAATTAATAAAATTAATTCTTTTATACTTAATTTTTGTGAGATTTTTAGATAATTATTAAGATTTAGTAATAGAAGATTATTATTTTACTAACACTTTATTTACTTCCACTGATGTTACTTCATTAATAAAAAATCTCTTTAATTAGAAGTTTAACGTTTCAGCACATACTGTAATTTTCAGATATTATAAATAAACTAAAATAATAGTTATTAATAATTAATAACTGTTTTCAATGTACTTCTCAACGACAGTAATTGTTGAATTAATTATAATAAATGTAGTTGTTTTCATATTTTCTGATGTAAGGTAGATTTTAGGAGTGATAGTCAAGAAATAAAGATTAACAGAACTAAGAAAGGATCATTAAGACCTTGAAATGTATTTAAGATACAACACAAGCAACATCTTACAACAAAACCAAATATAAATCTGAATTTATGAAAAAAAACCTCATTATCACGAAATTCTCACTTCTTTCTCCTTTTGTTAATAACAGTTTTCTTTATAATTATTGTCTCTTATAAGTAATTTCTGCTCTAGGTTTATTATTATTCCTGAAGACGACTAGCAGTCAATACCATAGTATGAAAGTGAGATGTGTATGTTTTTTGCAACAATGATAAAATTGTG